GTAGGAGCAAGCCCATGTAACGCTTTATAGGTTAACAGTAAAACCTTGAAATCAGCCCTTGCCTTAACAGGAAGCCAGTGTAGGGAAGCTAGCACTGGAGTAATATGATCAAATTTCTTGGTTCTAGTCAGGATTCTAGCAGCCGTATTTAGCACTAACTGAAGTTTATTTAGTGCTTTATCCGGGTAGCCGGAAAGTAGAGCATTGCAGTAGTCTAACCTAGAAGTAACAAATGCATGGATTAATTTTTCTGCATCATTTTTGGACAGAAAATTTCTGATTTTTGCAATGTTACGTAGATGGAAAAAAGCTGTCCTTGAAACAGTCTTGATATGTTCGTCAAAAGAGAGATCAGGGTCAAGAGTAACGCCGAGGTCCTTCACAGTTTTATTTGAGACGACTTTACAACCATCAAGATGAATTGTCAGATTTAACAGAAGATCTCTTTGTTTCTTGGGACCTAGAACAAGCATCTCTGTTTTGTCCGAGTTTAAAAGTAGAAAGTTTTCAGCCATCCACTTCCTTATGTCTGAAACACAGGCTTCTAGCGAGGGCAATTTTGGGGCTTCACCATGTTTCATTGAAATGTACAGCTGTGTGTCATCCGCATAGCAGTGAAAGTTAACATTATGTTTTCGAATAACATCCCCAAGAGGTAAAATATATAGTGAAAACAATAGTGGTCCTAAAACGGAACCTTGAGGAACACCGAAATGTACAGTTGATTTGTCGGAGGACAGACCATTCACAGAGACAAACTGATATCTTTCCGACAGGTAAGATCTAAACCAGGCCTATTTTCGTAGCCTATTGGGAACTTTGGAAGTGGGGGGGACACAGTATACTTTAAAATGACTACAACCAAATCGAAACTGTGTAGAAATTATAATGGACCTACATTCATACAGACACTTGACTGTGTCCAGCTGGCTAATAATCACCTAAATGAAAGCTAGACAGTCAGGCAGGATGGATAGAGGACCATTTTCTTGCCAATTTTGACGGTGAGGAAATATAACCCATTTTCAGTGCGGCCCTCTGGACCTTGTGGAAGACCAAATACGGAATATAAGGTGATATGAAATATTAGTTGATATGAAATATATGGGGTTGTGAAATACAAGGTGTTGTGAAATACAAGGTGTTGTGAAATATAAAGTGTTGTGAAATATAAGGTGATCTAAATTGCCTGGAAATCTAAGTTATTATGAAATCTAAGGTGATGTATAATCTAATATCTCCTATCTGGGTAGAGTTCGGATGCACACATACAGGCTTGTGTTGTTGTCCATTTCAGGTCGTCCAACCTCTCTCATTGTTCACACAGTATCTTTCTCAAACAGGTGAAATTGTGTTTCATGCATCACCGGTACCCCTCCTTGGATCCCCCCCTCCTCCTCCTCCCTGTCATCTTACTGGTCGAGACAGCCCTTGGATCCTCCTCCTTCTCCTCCTCCCTGTCATCTTACTGGTCGAAACAGCTTTTCTTTTCTCTTTCTCACTTCAGTGTGTTCAACATGTCAACATGGTGTGACCCAGAATCTGGACAATACCTCCTCATCCATCCTCTAGTCTACTATAACAAGTGTTGTTGACACTGTCCCTCTTCTGTTCCTTCTCTGTTGATACCTTTGCAGGGTAACTTTGGAGGCTCATAGGGGGTTAAATGAAATGGGGCTGCTGGATATACCGGAGGCTCATACGGGGTTAAGTGATATGGTGCTGCTGGATATGCAGGAGGCTCATAGGGGGTTAAATTATATGGTGCTGCTGGATATGCAGGAGGCTCATAGGGGGTTAAATGATATGGGGCTGCTGGATATACCGGAGGCTCATAGGGGGTTAAGTGATATGGTGCTGCTGGATATGCAGGAGGCTCATAGGGGGTTAAATTATATGGGGCTGCTGGATATGCAGGAGGCTCATAGGGGGTTAAATTATATTGTGCTGCAGGATATGCAGGAGGCTCATAGGGGGTTAAATTATATGGGGCTGCTGGATATGCAGGAGGCTCATAGGGGGTTAAATTATATTGTGCTGCTGGATATGCAGGAGGCTCATAGGGGGTTAAATTATATGGGGCTGCTGGATATGCATAAGCTAGGTGCTCATGAATTAGATATTCATCTGGTGTTGCTATACTTGATGGTGCTGGGAAAACAGTGGAGTGCTTTTATCATAGAATACTGTACAGAACACACTGCGGAGATGTCTGACCGAGAGAGAGAGTCCTTAAGTCTGAGTGGTACTGCTCCATTGAAAGTGACTGATCCGGTTGACACCTCTGAATGCGTGAGAGTCTGCTTATGTTTGCCGTTGTGGGTGTGCAGACCTACTCCCTACAAACAAGCCATCGTTGTGTCACTGCTCAAACATATATGGACCAAAGATGGCAGATAAACATTTTGATTTGATCAGACTCAACCACTTCTATCACATGACTTGGCCCTGTTTGAATGCAGACTCACACCTTGCATGTAACGTGGCTGTTGATAATTTATGCCTTTTTTATTTTTGCATGTTATTGTACCTGTATCGCTCAATCCCCATCCCTCTTGCTCTCTCTCTCTCTCTCTCTCTCTCTCTCTCTCTCTCTCTCTCTCTCTCCCTCTCTCCCTCTCTTGTAAATATTGATGTTCTTTCTCTCTGTCAATGCAGCTGTCTAATCTGTTCTGTCTCCCTCTTCTCTCACGACATCCCTGCTCCAGCCTTGTGTTGAAGAGTGGTGAAGTTATTGTGTTGTAATAGTTTGCATAAAGAACTGAACAATGGTTTGAATAGAAAGACTGTCTCCCCTTCCCCTAAACAACCTGTTATTAACATGACCTTCATACCTTTGCTTCTAATGGTCTTCAAAGTAAATGGGATGTATACAGTCGAATGTACACAAGAGTTTGCGTTGTTCTGAATTCACGGATGCGGTGTGTGTAATGTACAGATCGGTGGCAGCTAGCCTAGCAGTTAGTGCGTTGGGCCAGTAACCCAAAGGTCGCCGGTTCGAATACCCCAGCCGACAAGGTGAACAATCTGTCGAAGTGCCCTTGAGCAAGGCACTTAAACCTAATTTGCTCCAGGGGCGCCATACAACTCTGGGTGACCCTGTAAAACAACACATTTCACTGCACCTATCCAGTGTATGTGACAATAAAAACATATGTTTTATTTTCTTTCTTTACCAGTTTCTCACAGCAGGGAAATAATCCTGCAGTAACAGGAAATGTGAATGATTATAATGAATGGACATTTTTGTAGGGGTTGAAACATTTTTCGTTAGGGTAAATCAAGTCTGACATTTTAAAGTGGAAATTACAAACTTTAAAAGCCTTTTAAAACCTGAATACACAAGTTTGCATTTCCTGCAGCGCAGGAAAATTCTCTGCGACAAGAGAGTGATCAAATAGAACACCTGTGTGTTCTGTGAGTGTGAGACAAAACACAGCACAGCAATAACTCAGAGGTGATACCTGACCTAGCTCTCTCCAGGTCCCCCTCCCCCTCCAACTGCTCCCATACCCCTCAACACACACACAGAGACACAGACAGACACACAACCAACCCCCTGCTGTGGCAGCAAGTGAAGCAAAATAACTCATTCTGCCACACAATCTCTCCTCTGCCTCGCTCTGGGTACTGACGGACTGCTTTATTCCTGTTTTTCCCCTCCCTCCCTCCCTCGCTCCCTCCCTTTCCTCCTCTCTGTCTCCCTCTTTTTTTCCCCTACATTTGTTGTAACTCTACCAAAACAAGGGGCAGTGGCAGTGAATTGAGTGACCTTTTCCATTGTTGCGAGTTGTTAAGCTGTGTGGTCTGTGTGGAGCTGGTGAGGGCCATGCATCACATAGGATAGGGCTTGGCTGTTTGGAATACATGTTAGGTTGGAACTGGCCCCACTTTGGCTTGTTTCTGTGGAAATTCTCTATTGGCTCATTTGTAGTTGTGTGGTACAGCAAATACGCTTCGTACCATTCACAATGGGCTGTAGTAATATGTTGTGTAGCTTTTCTCACCTGGGGTATCGTATTGGATGTTGGCTAAAGAATTAATAACACGAAAAAAGCTTTCACTATATTTACTGTACAAAATGTTTTTTTTTTTTTTTTTTATGGTTTTCACAAAATACATTTAGAAAGCTCCATTTTAAATAAAATAAAATTGAAATATTTAAGAGACAGTGTAGACGTTTCATCTGAAAAGCATAGCTCAGACGTAGACCCCGTATACGTGTCCAGGTTCTATGTACACATTTTTGAAAAACAACGCAGAACTCAAAAAAGCATGACAGACGAGGCTAGAAAAGCCCACCCATGGTCTTCAATCATAAATAAGGACTGCTCGATTAGTCCGCAGTCAAACATACTCTAAGTCAATGGAATATAACATCAAATGTTTACAAAATTATGCAACACAAGACTAATATCTTCAACAAAAAAAACATTGTGTAATAGATGAAATACAAAGGCTTTGGTCTGTTTTACAATCAACAATGATTAAATCTGATATGTACTTGTAAACAACTGCCAAACACTTATGTTTAAAACTTTGTCAAGCATGTTTAATCATAATTATAGGAATTAAATATTTCTAGTTGCACAAAATGATTTGACAATAGGACACTATAATACAACTATACCTAAGAGACTAATTGTACCTGACCTAAAGAAATGTATTTTTATGATGCATGAAAATGTGTAGAAAACATTTATAGAATATTCTTGGGGGGATATAAATGAAAATGTACTTTTATTGTAGAAATCTTTCGATTTCTTGGGAAGACATACTTACAATTCGACATAAACAAATTGGATTATATCGAAGACGCAGTCTACCATTTAGCGATTCAACTGTTTTACTCCACAACTCCTCTGCATGTATAGCTCTTCACTTGGACCAAGAATCAATCCATCCACCACAGCAGAAGTCTATGAACAGGTATTGGACCTAGAATCAATCCATCCACCACAGCAGAAGTCCATGAACAAGTCTTGGACCTAGAATCAATCCATCCACCACAGCAGAAGTCCATGCACATGTCTTGTATTTCCCACTGTCCTTGCAAACTGTTAGTGGTGGTTGTCTGTGACCACAGTTAAATATCCAGGCCTGTACAGTTCATGTGATAATGTGGTTGTCTGTGACCACAGTTAAATACCCAGGCCTATACAGTTCATGTGATAATGTGGTTGTCTGTGACCATAGTTAAATGCCCAGGCCTGTACAGTTCATCTGATAATGCAGGAGTCAAAGACCCAAGGCTGAGGTGGGTGGATTGACTGGAGGTCGTCCTCTGCTGATGTCCATGTTGAAGGAATATGACCAATAAATAGGTTTAATAAACACACTGAGTCTCCTCCCCACAGCTCTCCTCTCGGGTGATATGCAACAGTTTCGCCAGAGTCCACAGACCGTGCAAAGTCTGGTAGAAAGTCTTGATTTAAGCAGATTTTTAAAATAGTCATGGCAGAAATCTCTTGGGTTCTCCTTTCCCCAAAACAAACACAAGACCAACATGGTTTTCTAGCAGTCCATCTATCAGTACTTGATCTGGGTTTCTCATCATAACATACACATGGCCATATACAAACACGCCAGAGAAAGACAGAAAAAAGAAACAAGGACTTGGGAAAAAGAAAATGAAGTTTTTGTTCCATAAAAATGTTAAACACTGGGCACTTTACAGAGGTCCATGTTTCTACTTCTTCTTCCCCCACTCTTCCCATTGTTGTTCTCCCCAGTCCTCATATGTGCCAAGAGCTACAGAACAGCACACGGTCCCAGTAGAAACAACCACACCCTGTAGTCCTAGGGCTCTCCCAGAGTCTCTTTCTCTCTCCTCTCCACTCCTCCACTTCTCTTCGTGTGTGTGTGAGACCCCTGCGGAGGGCGTGGTTGGTACGGTAAGGTGGGCAGTTACAGGGTGAAGTAGCTTTTCTCTCTATTGTAGTCTTGACCAGTACTGAGACATGTCAGGCTCGCCGCCTGGGACCTGGACAGGGACAGACACTCCAGGAGAGATGAGTCCTGAGGAGAGAGGGAAGAGAGACACATCAGTCAAAATGGCCCAGTGTCTCTGTACTGTATTTGGTAAAGAGCCTGAAAAATTACCATCATATTGAGAGACTAACCATGACGCAAAATAGGATATTGAGAGGTAAGTGCTGTAGCACATACGTAGCATGCATCCGAGTTGATCAATGCTTTAGCACAGAGTGCACAGCCATAGAGTATAGGTCATTAGAAAGGTTAAAGGTCCAATGCAGCCGTTTTGATCTCAATGTCAAATCATTTCTGGGTAACAATTAAGTACTTTACTGTGATTTGTTTTAAATTAAAATGTTCAAAAAGAAACAAAAATAGCTTCTTAGCAAAGAGCAATTTCTCAAGCAAACATTTTGCTAGGACTGTCTGGGACTGAAAACTAGTTGTTATTGGCAAAGAGGTTTGGAACTCTCTTATTGGTCTATTCACTAATTCACTGCCTGGTGATGTCACCAGGGAGGCCAAAACTCCATCCCACCAAAACAGGCTGAAATGTCAGGTGGTCTTTTCAAACAGTTCTTACACGAAAAGGGCATTATCATACTTTTCCCAATTTCACAGTATTATTCCAACCTCATAGTGTGGAAATATATATAAAACACCGGAAATCACCTTTTTTGACTGCACTGGGCCTTTGAGTATTCAGTGATAAGAACTTTAGCACACAGAACAGTAGCTTTATGAATCACAGTGGTTAGCACTTCAGCACAGTTAGCTAGGTTGATTGAAGCCTCGCAGAAAGTACAACAGCAAATGAATCAAATTAATTAGTGATTTAGCATAGAGGAAATGTGTCAATGGTCCATTAACCCTTCATGACTATGACCAGTATATATAGCCCTCAACAGCAATGTAATGGGTTGGAATTAAAACCTCCGTCTAGAGTGGTTAAAATCACATTAGGACATTGAGCTGGAATGGAATGGGGTGCGTTCATGTACTAAGATTAGAATGTCAGGAGAGAGAAAATGGTGTGTAACGTAAAGGTACAGTATGTGTCTGTTGTCTGATCAAAGAGAAAAAAGAAAATGGCGGATAATGGCGAAATGCAGAGCATGAATTAAGAAAGAGAATGTGTGCATGGCTATGTAGCCCCCCTCTATTTAAAGGTTAGGTGGCAGATGGTTAGTTAGCGAAGAGACTAAACGTGATTTGTTCATTTTCGCTAAAGGCCAAGCGTTTTTTCGGAAAACAATGGACTTTCTGCCTACCTGTTGAGGTGGTACCAGAAGTGGTCATTGATTGGCTGTTCATATGTGCCTGCATATGAGGGGGCGTGTATGTGTCGTAGCTCCGCCCATTCACAGGCGGACTGGTAGGCAGCATGCAGGAATAGGTCTGGCTGGGCTATAGACAGGGAGAGAATAACGTGTATATATTAGCTTAGCCAACTATATACCCTCTTCAGCTCAGCAGTCAGTCAGTCCTTACAGCAATGCCCAACTATGGATATAGACTATTATTTCCTTTAGGCATTTAGAAATATTTATGACTACAGTTTGATTTCTCCTCAACCTGTTATGAGGATTATAAGAGACCAGCATCATTGTACCTAAGAAGGTTGATTACAACTAGCTTGGTAATAATGGTATTTATTGGCTTTTGAAATACAATTTTAACTGTACTATTTGCAAATTTCAGACCACAACACAACCTTGACATTTGTTGACACAGTTAACGCAGACAGAACAGGGTCAGGGTTAGTTAGTATCTGGTTGTCGACTTACTTGCATAGGCAGGTTGTTGGACATGGTAAAGCTGGGCATGGGAGGCAGTGCGCTGTATGTGTTGGTGAGGGCCGTGTCAGGTCTGCCCAACATAGACCCAGATGTGAAGGACACTGAGGAAGAAGGGGAGAAATGTTGGTTAAAATCTGTTGCAGTTCATACATTCAGAGATGGCAGATAGGGAACATAGTGTGAGTAAAGCCACTCCCTCTTTGACAGGTAGAGTGTAGGCCTCCTTGACATTTAGCTCAGGGGATTTTGTGTTTCAGTGCTTACATGCATGATTAACCAATGAATCATTCAAAGTAGCCTATATCAGCAAAAAGTATTCAATCAACTGTCATTTGATTTATATGATGAGTTATTATTCAACTCATCTTTATATCAAAGAAAAATATCCCTTTTACCTATATTAGTCTTTAATTAAGTTGTCTGACATTGAAATGGGTGGTGGGCCTACTGAAATATTCCTAATGTTGACAAGTGTCCCACTGTGGATGGATGGAATGTTCTATGAATGTCGCGCTTACCAGGTGTGGTGGGCTGAGGCATGGTCTGGTAGACGCTGGTGCTGAAGCTGCTGCTGATGGGGATGTGACTGGAGGAGTTGCTGGCCTGACGACGCTGGTTCCGGAGCTTCTCCTCCCGCCTCCACTTCGCCCTTCTGTTTGAGAACCACACCTGCACAACAAGCCAGGTCAATCAAACATTAGTCGCATATTTAGCCTACGCATCGATTCTTGTGTGCCTTTTTCAGACCAAGCAGCAAAATGTTAATTGAATGCAGTGCAATGCGTATTTCAAAATGTGTCCGCTCACCTGTATTCTTGCTTCAGGCAGATCTATTTTCGCTGCCAGTCTTTCCCTCGCGAAAACGTCAGGATAATGAGTCCTTTCAAATTCTGGAATACAATATGAAAACGTATCTTTAGTATAGGCTAACAAACATATTGTTGTCTTTGAATTATGTGTAGGCTACTGAGGTGAATGTTGCTATTCATTCAATAAGACGTTAAATTAAAATATTCATATCGTGTAAATTCAAGTTCACCTTTTTCCAGTGCTTCAATCTGCTCTTGGGTGAACGACGTGCGGTTTCTCTGTAGCTTTCTCTTTAGCTGAAGTCGCATCTGCGTCTCGTCTGAATCCTCCCCATTCGAACTGATGGAGTTGGTGTTCTCTCCTGCACCGTCCTGTGGCTGGCAACCATCTGTAATGAAATCAATAAACAAATATGAATTAGCCTACTACATCTCCAAAATCATTCATTAATATATTGTTTAATTTTATAGTTCTCAAAATAAACTGCAAAAAATAACATTTCATCCTCGCAATAGCCCATAGGGAATTCATTTGAATTCAATAGTCCTATTATCTTTATATTTTTCCGTTAAAAGCGACCTGTTAGAATAATAAGGAAAAGCTGCCGTTGTAGGCCTAGCTGGCATAAAACACACAGAGGCATTGAATGATGATGGATGAATGATCCAGCTAACATATTGATCTCTGCTTGTTTTCAGACACATCAATAGCCATAAAAGACTGAGTTGTTATTTGTAAAATATTGTGGGGGAAATACCATTGCTCAGCATTGCTGCGTGAACTTAGATCCTTTATCACCTCTCAACAATGGAACATGTGCTCAAAGGGTTAAGAGAAATGTGACAAGATGTGGCGAACTCCTTTCAGGCCCTCTGAAATGTTTAAAAACCCAAACTCTCTCCCCCATTTAGGAGCGTTGCGAAGCCTCAATGGCCGTCCCCATATGCGCTTTCGTATAGCCATTGAGGTGACCACCAACACTTGAATAGAAGGAGGTGCTTTTCACAATGAAACAATGCGGTTCGGGGTAAGGGAAACCATTAAACTCTGTGCACACAGCGAGAGGTGGCTACAGCGAACTCTTCGTGGGCAGAATATCACCAGAGAGAAATGGAGCAGCACAATCGGACGAGGCGACAAAAGGATTCTCTCTGTGCTTTGGTGGACTATTGTGCGCACGAGGATCCCGGTCAACAGAGCTTTGAGTTCAGTGTGTTAACCCTTATCCACTAGCATCATTAATCACGTCTCCCGGCCAGCTAAACGCCAGTCAGGATTTCTGTCTTAAATTGGAAACAAATGAGTGAGGAGAGAGCATGCAACCCCCTGTACAAGCTGAATAAGGCCTATCTATTCACGGCTCCTGGTTGTCCGTGGTGGGCCTATAGGGTCTTCTGTTCGAGGCGTATCGACTAATGCCTGTCTTGTTTTTGCACATCATTATCCCTCCGAGAAGTTCAGATGAAATTAAGCAATTAAGGGCTACTTTTGGAGAATGTCGGTTTTTATGTGCGTAACGCTATTTGACCAGTCGTTTCGTGAGGTGCACCTGCATACAGAAAATGTTCTGAGTTGACCCATTTAGTTGGGGTAGTCTCGGACATGACAGTACTTACATTGGACTCACGACAGGCTACTCTTCTCTAACGATATCCATAAGCCTATTTAAACAAATGTATAGGATCGAATGTTTTCCACTAGTCTGTTTAGCTATCATTCCACTCCTTGCCACTGCTGTCATGCTAAACATCTTTGGCATATGACACGGAGTACAACGAGGGGAATGTTAGCTAAACAGACTGGTACCCAGGCTAGTTTTCCCCTGGGAGATTCCATAAAACATTTGTTGTAATATTGGAGTATTTGCATAACAACAGTTTAAATACGCACTAAATTAGCATGACATTGCGTGTTATGTAAGCAAATTCACCTTAAGGTCCCTGTCATATTTTAGGCTTAGGCCGATAACAATGTAGTAGCCTAGGCTAAATAGCCCATGAATTAGACATACTACCACAGACATCTAGCAAGTGCTAAATTATAGCACATAATGATAATTGTCTGGGTTTGTATTGGCTTGAAATGAATGTGTTAATAGGATTATTACAATCAAAATGTATCTTTTTAAAATGTCTAAATTTTTTCTTCATATAGCCTGTATCCACTCAGCGCTTTGTCTTTCTTCTCGAAGGATAATCCACAAAAATGAGTGAATGTGCGGCCTATTATCCCTCCGCCAGACCCACTGACGCTAGGTTTGGGATTTGTTTTCTTTTAAAAAGCGCTGGGAAATAAACTCATTCTTTGGTATCACGGTGTCTCGGGCAGTCGGGCGGAAAAGCAGCCAAAAGAAAAAGCGGCACCTTTCAGTCAACAGAGAGACTGGATCAAAAACACTTAAAAAACCGATTAAACTGAAAGAGAAAGTGAGTGTCTAAATCCTACAGACGGGATTTAGTTCCATATCAGAATGAAATGAGAGAAAGAGAGGTAAGAATTAATTGCCACGGAGTTTTATTCCGCCTCTCTAGATAGAGTTACTCCTTTCAGGCCCTGTCAGACTCCTTGTAACCATTATTTTAGCCACTGTTGCGTAGCTGTTGTTTGACAGGGACCATATTTCGTTCTCCTCAGAGACCTAGCCTTGCCGTATGATTCAGGCCTAATGGGCCTCCTGAAATGAACTCCTGGAAACAATTCCCAATTAAGTTGGATGTAAATGCCCATGTCACTTTATTTTCAATCGAAGAAACTGAAAAACAATATTGCAATAAGGGCCTAAAAACATTGCCTTAAAGGCCTTTAAAAATGTATTATTATTATTATTATTATTATTATTATTACTAGGCCTATTATTATTGTAATTATGATTAGGCCTGTTATTATTATTAATAATATTAATAATAATATCGTTATTATTAATAGCCTACTATTATTATCAATAATTAAATTAAATCAAACAAAGTGTAAACTGAGTGAATAATTATGCCTAGTTTTAGAAATGGACGACACTGACTTTAAGCTAATAGGCCTAAGCATATAGTTTATTGTACATAAAAAAAAAAAAAAAATTAAAACCTGAACAAAGCTAGTTTAGCCCACATAAGACTAAATCAAAAAGCCTTTATGTTCAAAGCAAATTAAATTCGGTGCAGAAACATATATCGAATTATTACACTGTTTCTCACGAGTTTCTTCCCCTTCAGGCTCTGTATTTCACAATGGTCTATTACAGCACAAAAAAATAACTAGAACATAAACATTTATCTTTGTAACATGCATGTTTTCATGGCTAATCGCCCCGCCTGTCATCCCGTGTCCAGTGGTCTCCTGTGGAACATTTCTCCATCAGTCTCCCCAACTAGACACTCCTGCATGTCACCATAACGAGAGACGAAGCTCTCTCTAATGAGCAATTATACATAGCAGGACCGTTCCCATAACTAATCCTTGCGTGTGAAGGAAAACATTTCTTTGTACTGATATCCCGCACACGGCCCTCAGGCTTTTTTTCCCCGCCAGGAGAGGAGGAAAATGCGGGTTGTTGGATGGACACCTCCGCTGAAATGCCAGGCCTCTGTCACGCACATCCCCATCGGAGACAGTGTGGGCATTGAGACTGCTGATTAATTGGCCGTTCACTAATCGACTACTCTATGATTAATTGGGATTCTTGTCCACCAAAGGCATCAAAGCATGTTGACAATACCTGCTTGATATGCTGACCAATCATAAACGACATCCAATCATCTTAAATTATTGATGCCCAACACGCACTGAAAACTATAGCTTTAAGATGTTTATTGTATAACATATTTGTTATGGTGACTTAGCTTAAGTAACACTACTCACTAATCAGTACGTCATTTTCGTCTAGCCAGAACCCATGCGTAATGTGACCGTTTAGTCATGTATGAAAGAAGCGAAGATATAGGCCATGGTATAGACCTAGCATGTGCAATATAACGTTCAATCCATTGTTCTCATAACAATAAAAACATGTGTGATATTAATGTTTACATGGACCCTTAGGTCATTTCAACAATGTGGTTTATAAAAACCCTAATACTCCTTCTTCCAAAGTCTAACGGAATGCATTGCCCAATGATGGATTAGTCTATAGGCCCACATTCGAATAATGGTGAGATAATTATATGATTTCACGAATACCGCAAATTCTTTATATCTATAGGCTACTATAGGCTTCTTCATTGTCATATTATTAGTGACTGAGGCTCACCTTGGTTGGGATGCCCTGGGACTGAAGTTCCGGGGTACCATCCGGGCCGTGTCCCCCAAGTTCCTGTCTGACCGTTGAGCATTCTCAGCTTGTCATACATGCCATCTGCGCCCATCTGTTGCTTCTCGCTAGCCAGGTTGCGGAGGACTCTGTTTATCGATGACACCTGAAAGACAAACAAAACGGAACGGTTTGATTAACTCCAGGCATGATTTTAAAATGCGCGCCGCCGCCGGCATAGCGTGTAGGCATGCGAGCACTGTGAGCGTGCAAACGTTAATGTCTATGGTGCAAACGTATACACATGCACGCACGCGCGCGCACACATACGTCACATCCTGACAAGTGAGCTGGAAGTAAAGAGGTAAACAGAGCATTTCCAAATAATATTTGAGAAAAAACATTGAAAATGTGCCTATTATAAACATCAACAAATGCCAATTGAATACATTTATTTTACATGTAGGCCCTATGTGGTGCAAAATTATCTAGCTAATAACGAATTAAATCGAAATCTACAGGTTAACTCATGCTAACCATATGTTTTACATATAACGCAGTGCATGATCTCATGACTAAATGGTTGGCTGCTAATCATGCATGCTTTCCGTCTCTGATAAATCATTTCAGGTTGTAAAAAAATCATGCTCATAACTTACACTCACTGCACTTACACTGGGTATATTGTCGTTGGTGCAGACCCCCTCCGACAACAGTCTGTCGCGGATCTCCCAGGCGAAAATAGACGGGCACTCCCGCTTGTACTGCGCTATCTTCCCCACCACCTCTGGAGTGGCTACCCTCGGTTTGCTGCCTCCGATCGCTCTCGGTCTAATGGAGCCAGTCTCATAGTATCTGCCAAGGATCTTACTCACGCACCCGTTGGACACCTGGATAGAAAACAATAGACACAATTCACATACATTATTTAAGACTAGTTGCGAAATGTTGAAGATTACGTCAAACTATAATAAGCTTACGTTTTCATTTTCCAGCACTTGGACTTTTGAGTCATCATGGGTCTATAAACAGAAAATATGCCTTAAATGGTATAGGATAACAGAGTGTGCACTTTCTAAAATGCAACTATTCTTAGGGGGGAAAGTGGTAGCCTACTTAGGACTTGTTACCCTTCATTTAATTTGAATTGGATATGGAATATAAAGAGAAGTAATTAGGCTTTGTCTGGCCCTTCTTACAGCCAACATTGTTGGAAAACGTTTTTAAATAAACAAAGAGGCTACAGTAAGGAAAACGAAAAGTTCCACCATGCATCATCTTCTTATATTTATATGTATTTATTTTGTGGTATCTTAAAATAAAAAAGAAAAAAGACTGAATGCTAGGGTTTCCTGCGCCAGACAGAAAGAATGCCCTGGTCACCTGCAGAATCCTGGAGATGTCGCACGGCCGCGCGCCACTATGAGCAAGTTCGACGATTTTCTGCCTGGTGGTGTCCGGTAGCGGTCTACCGTTAACAAACACACCGCCCAGCTGGTTCACACCGCTGTGACCTGCACGGAGACAAAGGGGAGCCCAATTATAGGCCACTGTTGCAATGTAACAACAAGGTTATGATCACAACAATATGTTCTATAACAAAATAGCAGTGAGTTAGGCAATGCTTTTCCTTTCAGATGGTTAGCTTTCAGAGCAAAGGTGAAACATAAACATTGAAGGGAGGCATTAATTGTGAACAAAACGCTAAATTTAGAATGAAACAGGAAATGCACATAGTCTAATAGTAAAATTATCCCCAAAATGAATATCTAATAGTTATTTATTGTTCTATTGTGATCGACACTTCAGGTCAAGCCCACTCCAGACAATCGTCACTGTAATTCAATAGCCTTGAATCAACATATGCAGGGAATCGATAAAGCGTCAACAGCATCCAATGATCTGGACCAAAACATCTCCATCCAACTGAGATTAAATCAGCTATTCAAAGGTGAAATCAGCTATTCAAATGTGAAATCGGCTATCCAAAGGTGAATTCAGTCATACGCGAGTTGTCCAGCATTATTTCGCCAAGCAAGCCAACCCCAATTTCAGCCTCTTCAAATTCCCAAACTTGGAAATGAAATGCCCATATCGTCCTCACGGCTATTCCAATGTACTATTACGCATAACCTCAACACAAGCACACCAAAATACCACCCATTTAGGTAGCCTCAAATATAACAAACCTCAATAAATGTTATCCAAATATAAGTATTTTTAAAACAATTAATTAATAGGTAGGTTGTAGTCGATAAGGAGGTTCAGTAAAGCAGGGAAAGAGCCAGCAAACCTGAAGCCAAGTGGGACCGATGCCTCCCCGGAGTGCCTTACTGCGCTCCAGATCTCCGCTGCCTTCTCCTGCGCTGCCGCCTGCTACATTGACTCTGGGAGCAGAGGCTCCTTAGCAATAAATAAGCTCCAAATATAGAAGAGGGGGAAAATATGATGAGGCTGGCTGACATTTGTCTTTAAAATAAAGCTAGCTGCACGTCAAGTTTGAGCTTAATTTCTGGAAATAGGCGGAAGTCGCCTCGGATCATGCATGGGAAGGCTAATTGAAAAGATCAGTTGGAGCACTTGTGGCAGGCATGTCACTTTATGACACAGCTCTGCTTTTGAAAAACGCATCGTCACGACAAATAGTAGCACGATAAAACGACCCTTTCTGTCTGGATTTGGATATCACTCAGACAAAATTGGACGCTACTCGTTTACCCTTCGAGGGAGGCTTCGTTTTAAGGTGGCCAGGGGCTACGCGCGGGCACAACAAACGAGGGCGCGCTTGGATTCTCAACATATTAAATCTGACATCTCGGTTTTTTTCCCTTGTTTGTATTTGGCAACAAATCCTCCCAGCCACTACAATCCTGTTGTGTGCAATCAGTGGGCTATCTGCTTGGGAATACGTTGTATGTGCGCTTGTGCCAATTAAAAGCCATGTTTTGAGTGAATATAAATCTGTTTAACAGAATTAAACACTTCTCTTTGGCCACTATGTGTAATGATCCTTATCCAACGTGGACCTGATTAATAGCAGATCCATTATCATCCCCCTTGCTCTTTGGTAATTCCAGGATTAAGTGGAATTAATAGACTTCCTACTCTCAAATTGGCCTGCCAGCGCCAAGCAGCTGTTCGCTGCGGGTTTACATGGTTGCACCATCACCTCAACGCATTTATAACCATCATATACATCCACGGGATCGATAAAGCCGTCAGATAAGGACATCACATACATTTTCAGCTCTCCAAAGGTTAAGTCTTAATCATGGGCCCAATTCCCCAGGGCGAGATGCGTAGATCTCGCCCGCTGGCGCTGATTATGCGCCTTGTATTCTATTGCTAGTCGACTAATAGGAAAACATATGGTGTCAATTTGGCCGCTCCCCTTCATATACACCCAGGAGTTGTTAGCACAAAAGCCACCGAGGCCACGGCGACCTTTAAACTACACATAGAGCCGGGCCCAATGATATCTCCTCGGCCATTCGCACCAGAAATCACAAGCCATGCCAGGGGTGCATTTCATTAACATCAATCTGGGGCAAAGCAGGAGCAGAGGGGGCAGTACATAGCTTTGATGACGCCTCGTTTAAAACATAATCTCAATAAAGGAGAACTGGCAAGCAATCTGTGATTAAGCCATTTGTCAGCGCATAGAGCAGTGGGTAATGCCAAGGTGGCCTATATGGCGCATAATGGACTACCAATGTTGTTCAAAATAACATTCAATAGGCTATGTATTTAAAAAATATATGATACAAAATAAATAGGCCTAAATGAATAAATTCCTGTATCAATTGTCCTACTTAATCTGACCTATATTCAAGCCTTTTGTTTTGCATGTTGTCATTTTCCCTTATAGGGAACAATATAATATTCCCTACTTGCATTGAAATTATAACCTACACACTATAGGCCTACAACAAGGTATCAATATGCCTTACACGTGATCTAGCTATAAGTACATTGAATTCAGACAGATTAAAATGTGACTATGTAGGCACGTGTTACAGCACAGGCACGTCATCAAGGTGAGGAGAATAGCAGAGAGGAAATCATTCCACACACCTTCATCACAGATGTCATAGACCTCTAGTCCAGCAGCAAGACAAGAGAGAAAATAACGTTACTTTTGATCCTTCATGGTTTAGTTCATTTCGCCAGTAATTATGTTAGCAACTCATATGGGCCATTATGATAAACAATCCAGACAAATAATAACACACTATAGACTAGAAAGCAATATAGGCCTACACACAGTCTATTTTCCTTTATGGCGCCCATGCAAGACAATATCATGTTTTATCATGTTTTTTGTTGGTGTTGAGTTTAGGCCTATATGTCCAGTTCTACTCTGTTCTTTTTATAATGTGGGCATCTCCATTATAACTCCTGCTCTGTTCATGAGGAGACTAATCTACATAAGACATTATTGATATTCCTCCTTTTTCACGCAATGTCCTTCTCTCCCTTCCCTTGTTCCGCCCCAGCTAATAGTGTATACAGCCTGGCAGTCAGCTCTAAAGCTAATGCAGACGGCTGTGCAATTATTTAATACCAACTCAAGCGGGAAGAAAAATCTCCCTCCTTCAACCCAACCCCCTCTACTCTCTCTCTCTCTCTCTCTCTCTCTCTCTCTCTCTCTCTCTCTCTCTCTCTCTCTCTCTCTCTCTCTCTCTCTCTCTCTCTCTCTCTCTCTCTCTCTCTCTCTCTCTCTCTCTCTCTCTCTCTCTCTGTGCACATAGCAGAAAACTAAAACAATCTGTGGAGATTAATGGATGATATATAATTAGACTATAACTGTCAATGTTCAATAACTCTGCGGTCTGGAAGGGGCCGTATAACATGCATTACATATGAACACATGGATAGTGGTAAATTAACAACATCAAGAGCAACACACAATTTTAAACATTTAAACTAAAAACAAACCATAAACTGCTGCAATAAATGATGTGGGAAAAAAACAAAAGAATAAAGCTAATATGTTAGGGGTATGTTATGTTAAGGGAACCATAAAGACAGTAGAGTAGTTGGGGTTGCATGCATTCATATCTCCACTTGCGGTTAGTATCAAAGTTTAAAAACCAAAATATGCAAATCCACTTACTGTTCTGCATCATCGAGGCTACGCCAGACTCCCACGTGGCTTGGCTGTGGTATTCTATGCGTCATAAGGAAATAACAATGATAACAATGTTAGTATCAGCATAATTAGAATGTAATGACTATTCAAAGTTTTGCATTACAATTCACAAATGTTCTCTATTTTTTTCAAATATATTTCTTATTTTTTTCCCTTTTAGTTACTTCGAATTCCAATGCAATTAGGGCGGATACTTTGGTGCAATACAATCATAATGTTGCTCTGTGATTATAAATTCCACATAGCCATAATCCATGTGAATTGGCATATCCCCATTGTATATATATTTTAGCATTAAACTTGCCTGGAAACAGAGTTGACTGTTGGCTTAAAACAATTTAGCCAATCTTAATGTCTCCCTAGGACAAAGCAAAACAGTATATTAGTACAGCCCTAGCGAAGACTGTGTCCTACATTTTACAAGTAAAGCCTACAAAAATTATTATTGAATTATAATTGTAATTAATAAATAGGCTACTATCGATTTGGCGTGTTATTCATATGAGAGCATTTATATTTCTGTTTTTATTTTTATATTTTGGACAGCCTGAAGTTTGAAGAAACGGGCACTTTAATAGGCCTAATTGAAGATGGTAAAGTAAATAAATTAGGTTGAGTTGCGATGGTTGCTATTCGTTGGCACAACCATCGCTATCCGTTGGCACGTGCATGGTTTATTGATCACCTGTTTCTGATTCCTTGACATGTTTTTTCTTCTTCTACTTGATGGCTTATAAACAGGCTTAAACATAAAGCAACCGCCACAGAGGGTATTTCTAGTTATATAAAAATCTAGACCCTCTCGCCTAATGTGTATAGTGACACACGCTGTCTACCTCGCCTCACTGCTCTGCAAAAGTACAAACCAGGAGGGGGTTGAGGCCGGCATTCAAAGCCTGCCGGAGTCCGAACAATGCGCCCCTTTCTACCGCCATACCCAAACCCGGGGCCCGCACAACTCGGCCTCCACAACTAGCAACTCATCTTCCCACTAAACGTACCAACAACTCCAGAATACAAAGAACCGAAGGCATCCACCCCCTCCGGGACCATACACACAACACCTTCTCACTGGCACAGCGGAGCACCGTGACCTCGGTTGCCCGTAGCCCAATGTGGGATTTGTTTGTTTCGTTTTGGGAAATGGAAAAGTAATTTCTTGTTATAAATATCTAGAGGTAATGGTGTAGCTGGTGACGGTTGTTAGGCGGTTGTAAAAAGATACAACAGCTCAGTGGGGAGCTCAATCGGGAAAAGACAAAACGCAATAAAGAACCTATTCAAATGGTCGGTTAAAAAGGAGGCCAGTGAAGGAATAGTCTGAAGTTTCATTTTATCTCTTTACGCAAAATCAACCCTGTTGTGGGCATGTGTGTATTGCACCCGAACCTAGGATTTGGAAACATGCATTGGCTTGAGAAGTGAGACATACAAGTAGGCCTACTTTCTGGAGAAAGTAGCCAATTGCAAAAAAAAAACGTGTTTCCAATGCCATTTTATAATGTATCAGAACACTGTTAACAGTAATAATTGTTTTGTTGCAAACGGAGGAATTTCTTCCTCGTCAGTCCTGTTCTTAGAAGTAGTCTGTCTGAAAACACCCAAAGTGGTTATACACAACTCTTGAAAACAATGCATTTAATTTTTTGCAATGCAAACGCACTCAACTCATTAATTTAGATTCCTCCACATTCATTCCAATATTTTAACTGTGCGTAAAAGTATAAGCCCACCAATGCAAAATAAATCTCTCAAAAATACACACAACCCCGGAAGTGGCGAATGGTAAAATAATCATAAATTCCTCTCCGCCTTGAAAACAATATTTCTGCTAAATGTTTGGAGAACTGCGATTCAGCAGTGTCCCACTCCCATACCATCTCTTTATAGACATCATCGGCCTAGTTAATCATTTACTTAGGGTCGAAAACTCTGCCGTTGTCGCTGAGGTTAACAAGGGTCTAATCTGCATTTCTTTTCCTTTAGTAGTACCTAATCCGTAACAACAATCGCCTTAATTAAACATGCTTATTCAGGCCGCTGGATCCTGAGTTCACAACATTCACATGCAGAAATACATTACTATCTCAAACAATGGCTCAGTAGGAAGTTGTGAGTACTATGCATTTACATGCACTAAGCATCTTAGTGTTATCGTTAATGTAATATGTTAATTTAACGACACAAATGAAACCATAATATTTATGATTAGTCGAATAGTGAAATATAGGTCTAACTTTCAGCTACCTTCGTTTGACAGTTTTATTGATTTAGACTCAGTGAACGTGAAACTATCTTTATATTTTTAGAGTTGTGCAGATATACTTTCTATGTTGACAAAAAACATAAATATGACAAAATTATAATAGGCTATGTATTTAGCCTATTAGTATAAATGCTTTGTTTTATTTTATAATAATTGTAAAACGTTTTTGTAGTATTTTAGTAAATTGTAAGCACGCTTAAATTCGTGTAGTGATAACTATTTCTGCACAATACTTCACTTGCTTTGAAGAAAAGTACAACTTGAGGTATATTTTCTTTGGCACGCAAACAAGAGAGAAAAATGCGTAGGCCCAGCGTGTACTTGGAGCGTTTTAGAGAAGGCGCTTGGGTGACTCGGCTGTCTATGACTCAAACTGACACCATTCCTCAACGGGTCATTGCTCCCCATTCTCCATGATGATCACTGTCTTGGCCTAACGCGACTTTTTACTCTTTGCTGTCATAAATAAGCATTAAGCTATCCGTAAACACCAACACAACCGATCATTAAAGAGCACATAAAATAAACAGGAAAGCCAGCCCCAATGCCGCTTCAAATCGAACTCTACAACTCCAGAGTAGGAGTTGAGTATCAGCAGCCCAGTAGAGGCTATACTTACTGCACAAACTCCAACCTATAGCCTAGCTATAATAGTCGGCAGCCTGGAAGATGCATATTGCGCAATAATAATAATAGATTCGTTTTCAATTATTGATTGTTCTGTATTAAGTTATGTGTGTTTGCAGGGTTGCAGTCTAGGTTGAAATGCACAGACAGTATTTTACTGAGAAGATATCCACTCTCACCTTTTTGAGGCATCCTGCGCGGCTGTCAAAAGTCCTTGTCAAATAGTTCTCCGCGCCACAGAAAGAGAACAAATGCAGGGCAGTCTCTTGTTGTAGTTTTTCAGTAAGAGGAAAAAATAGTTTTCCAGTGATCTTCAGCGGAGACGGAAGGGATATCCCTGCGAAGGAGACAGAGATTGACAGTGAACTCAGATGTCAGGACCGCGGAGTGAGCGAGATTGTGGGCTCGTGTGAGTGAGCGAGATAGCGAATGAGAGAGGGGAAGAGAAGGAGAGAGCGAGAAGGGGAGGGAGGGAAAGAATGGGAGAAGTAGAGGGGGTTGGGGGCTAAGAGAGAACACACCTATGCTGATTGGTGATGGTAGAAGTGTATTACTGTATGTGTTCCTGGTCTGCTGTGCTCTGTGCGTTTCCTCGACCTCTGTCATCATCGGCCCCCACGTAAACACTTCCACCCCCGCCAAAGCGGGAAATGGGGCCGAGCGAGAGAGAAGAGAGACCCGTCTCCCCAAACCCACTAATCAGCAGACACATACAAACACCCTCTTTCTTTCTTTCTTTCTCTCTCTCTATCTCTCTCGCTCTCTTCCCCTCGCTATCTGAACATTGCCTGCCCTACTATGCAAAGCAACTGGATTGCCTCGGATATTCCCATTGGATAGAAAGCAAAGGCCCGGTGGGTCTCAGCAGAGGCCGAGTTGGTTCCGTGGTGGTGGGAATCTCAGGCATGTTTTACAGCTAAACCTGAGGGCACGACGCTGGGAAAACTGAGGATGTGCACGCATTTTCAAGCAGTCAGCTCCATCAGTGGATCATTCTTTCCACTGAGCTGATTTCAAATCGTTCTTGAGTTATCGAGCGTAGGCTAGGCCTATTTCCGTGGGAAAGTGGCCTACACATAAATGTTTTCTTTTGTTTTAGGCGTATTGCTATCGTGCAGCCTCTATATTCTTTACCTTACTAATTTGTCCAATGCAATCTTGGAACAAACTTCATATTTACTTTGGGTCTGCATGAAAACAAACCGTTTCTGAGTTTCTGTCAACAGCTCTGCATGGCTGTTTGCAATGGTTGCGAATATCTCCCTGGAGTACATAGTGAGTTGGCCCTTGGTGATCAGGGCCACTACTAATGACAGATGAGCTGAGGAGGGCTCCCCCATTGACAGCGGTGGCTTTTAAAGGGGAAACTGTTTACTTTGTGTATTAAGTGCACTTGTAAATTACCACTAATGTAGCCTACTGGCTGAAAACAAACGCAAACTTTCCCCACGTGCCTTTGTTGACTGTTTGGTATCACCTTCATTGACTGCTCAGCCTGTCATGGACATTGTAAACACACAGACACACACACCGTTCCTCGCCATGCGTAAAGGGCCCCTGCAAGCTCTGCTGCTTTTTATGGACGCATTTGCAAGGCAAGGTGACGTCACTCCTATGACCTGACAGCAAATATCACGCGTAAATAAAGTGAGGCAAATGACTGGTCAGCAATGACCACACGCTCCCTAACTGCGCGGGTTTAATGGCCGGCCATTAGGGCACACCTCAGCGCACCCGAAAGCAACCCCTCCGAGCCCGTATTGAAGCTTACACTCGTAGCTTGCGAAGCACCAGTCTCAGTGCTGGGAGTCCCCGTCGCTTATTCCAAAGGACCAGGGCCGGTGGAGGCTGTTTGGATGTGTGGAGCCAACCAAAAGCAAAATTGGGGTACAAAAAAGGGGGAGACGGAGAGAAGGAGGAGGAGAGGGGGATGGGATGGGGCCATTTTTTGGAGAGTGCAGAGCATGAAATGAAGTCATGGAGGGAGGCCTACACTTGACTTCCTTTGACGTGAAAAAGTCAGAGAAGTCAGAGCTCATCAATAAACTACCTCGGAGGTGAAAGAGGGCTCCCTGACAACCATCACATTCCTAACTGCGGGTTCAATGAGGAGACAAACGACGCTGCCTGAAGGGGGGGGGCGGCGGGGGAGGGGGGGGGGGGGGGGGGGGCGAGGCCTGAATGGGGCCCACAGTGGGCGCGCGAGATAATGAGCCGCGAGGACCAGCACAAACTGTCACCCAGAGTCCTGCGGTGAGGAACAAGAACAACACTTCGGCCAAAACTTTCTCCCCAAACAAGCTGTAAACTAACCCACCATTTTGTCCCATTTCTCCTCCACTGTGTTTAGTCACTGAAGCTGGTGGCCTATTCGACTAAATTATTTTTTTGTTTCTAGTGTTTGACTTTGTTTTGGGGTCGTCTGTTTCTGTTTGTGTGTTTGTGCATGAAGATTAGTCCTGATGGTCTAATGAGTATCTTGTTCAAGTAAACTTTCTTCTGATAATAGAGGAACTGGCATGCATATGATAAACCTAAAAGTGCTTGTGCAGCTAAAAAGGTGAGCAGAACAGTTTTATACAACATCCACATACATGCATGACATGCCAGCACACACGTTCTCATAAAATCGTTGTTGCAATAAAAACAGTGGGGTAACTGTGCAGAATGTACGAAATGAAAACAATATTGGTCAGATTCGCCAGATTCGCCAAGCTTTGCACCTGATACTTTCAGAATGGAGTGAAAATGTTGTACTTCTTCCCTTCTGAAAATAGCAGGTGCAAACTTTGTGCCACGTCAAACGCTTATTACCCAATGCATGACAACATTGTTAGGCCTATTTAATGACAATATTTGTTTTGAGTTAATTAATGCACCTTTGCAAAATCCTGCACACAATCGTGATTCGTGCTGTTGAAAGTTTGGACGTAGCCTAATGTTTTTGGTCAACGAATCATAAAAAAATAAAAATAAAACATAATCAAATGTTTAAACCGATTATGAATTGTGTTGGTATATGCATTTAAATATGCTTAGGCTAATCTAACTTTCAAAAGTGAATAATATCAAACGTATGCTAATTTACAGGCAAAATATAGGCCTCTATGAAGGACACTGCTAGTAGTGACACTTATAAGTAACCACACCACATTGTAATTCTAATTTAATCGCTATCCCCTTGTAAGCAGTCTGCAGCTGACGAAAATGCACTACTAACCCGCTTCAGTGAAAGACAGAATCCCTGATGAGTGTGTCGAGTAGTTTTCTCTGCAGACAATAGCCTATACGTCCAATAGATTATTGATTTCTTTGGGAAAGTAAATCCGCTCCGAGTGCTAATGCGTTGTCTCCACTCTTCTACTCACGATAAGTTTTGTTTTTCTTTACTCACTTGAAGTTCCAGGTCAAATATAGCGATAAATAATCATTCCCTTTGAACGCTCATGCTCGTTGAAGTGCACATATATATTTCTCTGTTTAAGGGGCAGGTTCTCCAGCGTAAGTGTGAAAATGTAGTAAAACGAGTAACCGTATACAGACTAGCAATTAGCCCAATTCGGATTAGCAGCAATGCCAAAGGACCTGAAAAGAAATCCTAATCTTGTCGCTATTTTCCCCTGAGGCAAAGTGGTCTTTGAGGCCTCTCTAAAAACTTTGAAGAAAAAATAATGTCATAGGAGGGAGGAGGGGGGGATGTAGGGGTGAACACGGCTGACGTCATGCTTGGAAAGAGAGCGAGAGAGAGAGAGCGAAAGAAGAAGGGAGGCCTATTAGAAAACATCAACAAAGAGGAGTAGGGCTCGCTGGCCTCCATTGATTTATCGAGATTTGAGGGACATGGGGACCGTTGAGCCATTGGGACCGACAGAGAGAGCTCCATCATCTCCATAATGATCTAATTGTAGAGCAGGCAGGCGGGCCAGTCTTCCATGAGATGGAGGGAGCTGTCATCATCCACCCTTCCTTCTGTAGGGATATTACAGTACAACGTTTGGGCCAAGCAGCCACATTTGCATGAGCGTAGAATAAATGGATAATTAATGCATTTGCCAATTGTTAAATATTTTTCGAAAGTTTATAACTATCCTTTGTGGTTCAAATACATTTGATTAGAAAAATATACTAATAGGGATATTAATTAATATATTAATTATTTTATAGTTACTTCCTAATAACATTAAAATATAGCCTACATTTTCATTTACATTTGCACTGAATTACTCCAATATTATTATAGATAACATTATTTAGATTAGGCTATATATTGTTATAACAAAATTAGCCTAACCATAATAATGTGGTGTTGTCACAATAATAATAATAATTATTTGTGTTAACATTATTTAATATAGTTGTATGTTTTATTGAATAGGAAATTCGACAAAACGAAATGTCTTCGAAGACACTCCACTAAATGAGATTTTAAAACGTATAATTCATTATAAAAGAGCTTTTGCAAGTTAACAAACGTATTTGGCCTACACACCATTCGGTTTTTAACCAACAACCATTTTATTAACTCCAGGCTGCTTCGGTTTTCTGCATGGCTCAAAGATATTCAGAAATGTACATTTTGTAACATGTTGTGCGGTGGAGCTCGTGCCTTCGGGAATGAAGCTGTCTTTTACTGTCTAGGCATAACTCTTCCTCTTCGCACATCACACTAACCAGCTGAATTCTGTAAACAAATCCAACACCTGTTAGGATCAACCTAAAGTTTGATGTTGAATAATGGTTTGCTCTCATCCCAAAACAATTGTCTTACAAGCTGAGGGAACTGAAATGGACACTCTAGGCTCTGGGCTGCAAGGGAAATTATGTCAACACGACATACAGTAAGCCTATATATGAACACACAGATCACGATATCACTGCATGTGTGCGTAAAAAGCATTTTGTAAGTATCTCGCGGGACCCACGATAACATCTGTGTAAGCGACCAATAAACTTTGATTTAAAATGGATTTTGCTCTATTAATATAATATGACAACTTCTTATAGCGACTTGGGAATTATTGTGTTAGTGAAAATACCAGCCGTAGGCCTAAAGATGCTGAAAGTGTATAGACTTGAGAACTCATCACTTCAACTTGTATAACAAACTTTCACTGAGTGAGACATTTAAGTGAAAAGTCCTACAAGGTGAATTCGTAATCTCAACTGTCTAATTTATCTCCTTGATTGACGTCTGGCAGGGAATGTCGTGTGAGGATGCTAGAATGCTGGAGTGTGGATGGACCGTGAAGCCCTCTCCTGGCAGAAGACGGTCTGCTCGGAGATGATGGTGTCACAGCGCTCCTCGGCGGCCTGGCAGCTGGAGAAACGCAGTCACCAATAACAACTAATGGGACAGGTTGACCTGGGTGCGCAGGGCACGGTACTCAACTTATTACCGACCAGCTCGAACGAAATGGACCGTGGATCACACTGCAATTGCATGTTATAAAATACACAGTAGCAGGCCTATAACTGGGGTTGAAGACGAGAACATGTCTGATATATTGAAAACCCTATTTCAGTTATTGATCTAAAGCTTAGGCTACCTCATTTTCAATCAATGGTGAACCATTTTTAAGCTACATTATCGTTTTATTCGCCTTGAATATTATATAAAAGTTCAATTCAAATTGGGTAACTTTCAAATAACTTACTTGAGCTAAAAGTAAGCATATAAAGTAGACTATACGATTTGCCTAATTAGGCACTCATGATAAGCACGCTAAAATGTTTGTAGGTTTGGTAGGCTATTTGGTTATTCCAGAAATATGCATAATTACCATTTGGATAGTTTATATCACTCATACTAAACTGTTGGAATTACAAAACGCCAAGCGCAGTGTAAATAATAGAACATGTCAATATCGATGTCCATATCCGCGCTTTAGCTCCGTGCGCGTTAAAGCTTATAATAACACTTGTGTAAGCGCGTCTTACTTTCTACCTCAGTGAAGATCGCTAATTACACGCTTCTGGAGTCATCAACTCCTGCGCTACGATACTAGCAAAAGCACAGTCGCATGACCCATCAAAAGACCATGCGCAACAGTGTTTACATTACCTCCAGCAACACTGGCATTACCCACATTAAACTCTGCCTTCTGTATAGCCATATGGATCCATCAAATACCTTCATAATCATCAGATGCATTATAAAGTTTGTAAGCTTTGGCAACAAACAAAAAACAGACCACTGATGTTACCATCCCGGGTGCGCACAATATACATAGAATACACACAGTAGCCAACGAAATCCTTTTATATATTTTGACAATCCGAAGCGAAGAAAGCACGCCGATGTGCAAAGCACTCAAAACATGTAGTAGGGTAATAAGCAATCCGATTGAAATGTGAGATGTATACATCGCCTGATGCGTAGAAATTCACCTGATGTAGGCTGTAGAGGGCGCAGACCTCTGACCGATATCCTCCTGCTGATACCAGCCCTCGCTCCTTCACCCTCCAAATTGTCGCTGGAACAAATCAAGATAAAGTTATGGGTCCAGATTACATTCGGATCCGCCTCGGAGTTGAAATGTCAATGAGAGTGAAAAAAGACTGCCTCGCTTACCACCAACTTTCCCTTGGCATCAGCCTCAACTTGGCAGTGATTGGCTAGAGCGACGGTCCGACGTCACCTTCCGAGGCATGGAATGGGGGAAGTTCTATATGGAGCACATGCACCGGCCACAATTCGATCCACCCACCATCTTTATTGTCTTTAACTTTGACTGAAAGAAAGGGTAGATTTTTGTTTTTATATTTCTTTGCAACTTGATTAGATGTTATGTTGGCTGTAATCTGAACATTAGGCAATGTAAAAAGTTTCTCTAAATTATTTGATAGGTTAAAATGGGAACATCATTGCAAAATAGAAGTAGGCCAATTAAGAATGTGGATTTTTATATTCACTAGTGCACAATTTACTAATGGACACATCAAGTAATCTATGGGCAAAGGGAATCCTATAGGCCTGTATAGCCTATGGCGTCGCAGCTTTCATGGATCAGTTGACCCATGCCTATGAAAGCATCAACCTCTTTCTATTACACATTCTTATTACACATGCACTTAACACAACAAATCTAAATGTCAAATCGAATGTAGTAGTTGTGGTTTATTAAAATTATTATAAGGACGTACTTGCTAAAAGCTGAATTGCAGTACACCGCACATCGGCCTACAAATAAACAAGAACATATAAACAATCCGAAAGTCAGCATGGGAGATGAGGATGGTTGATGATCTAGGAGTTGAAGCAGGTTGAATTGCATTGAGGGCAGAGGAAGCATCGATGGTATTATGGAGGAGGGTCATGCATTAAATTACATGATTATGAAACAAAACTGAGGGAGTGGTACTAAACAGGTGCATTGAGGGTCGAGAGGCTGGATCGGAGGATCCCATTTAAAAAATGTTAAGTAAATGCAAAAACTAAACTCAATTAGTGAATTGAAATGTTCTTGGCAATCGAATTCCAAGCAATTTTTTGCATTTCATTTCATTTTCTAAAATGGCCGGCATTGCAAAGAAATTGAGTCACATTTTTCTCATAAGCCGTCCACTCAAAAACCACAAAAATGGCTGAAAATATTATCATCTGTGGCTTGTCTGTATCATAAAGACCTATAGGCCAAGAACATGTAATTCTATGAGGGGGCGGGATATTCCACTCTCTGTTTGATGGAGGTATTCACCCATGCATGTTTGTTCCAACCTTTTAAACAGAGAATAAGACTACAGGATGTTCGACAACGCTGTTACCAGCAACAAGCATACTACACGCATGGGTTAATTTGTGTAGCATACAGGAATTTCTGTCTAGGTATTTACGACATGGGTGAAAATCAAGTCTCGTCGAAGTGAAAATATGTCCCCTTTTTCAATAAATATTGAAAGTATTGATATTTCACTAACAGGGTTAATGTGTAAAATTAATATTTTATTTTATCAGCACAGTATCCTACTTATTGACTTACTTTTTCATGGCTTAGTGAAGGTATCACCTCTTGTCACCCCTTGACGTACGGAGAAGAGGCTATAAAATAACATTTTGGATTTTTTTGTGAAGAATAATGTATAGCAACCTGAAAATGATCACTTTCCCTTTTACAGTAGTCGTTTTATAAAGTCATCCTAAAACGGGTTTTTTCTTCTTCTTTATGTACACATGTTGATACGTTTACAATCTTCACTGGCAGAGGCGCGGAGTTAATGTATTATTGGTCCATAACCCGTAATGTGCCTCCAGTTTCCCCCTTCAGAAAGGCAGGCTAAAAGCCTGCAGACACATGTCACAACCTCAGACGTTTGTGTCAATTTGAACAAGAGGTCGGAGAGTAAATGGGCAACAGCACTGCGGCGCGTCTCTCAGGAAGAGGCCGGGGCGGCGCAGGTACGGGGCGGTCAGAACTGCCTGTGTTAGGGCCTTTATTTGGAGTAACCACAATTAAGAGGCCGCGAAACCGTGCAACGCATCAGGGTTCTCGACATCCGTGCTGGAAACCGCACGGCTTGGCCCCGCTTATCAGGCTGTCAATAAAACGAGACAGGATGCTGTGGCTAGACCAGGTGCTCCCGTTCCCTGCCCACACCGCCCCGCTCTCCAGAAGCCGATCAGGCGTGAAGGCAAATCTGTCCAGCCGGTCTTCCCTCTACCACGGTCACCCCGCTTCCTAATGCATACAGTACAACAGCACACACTGCCTCACCAGCCCCTCTCTCTCTCTCTCTCTCTCTCTCTCTCTCTCTCTCTCTCTCTCTCTCTCTCTCTCTCTCTCTTTCTCTCTCATAGGCCTACGAAAGGTTGAGATGGCCCAACTTTTTATTTATTGCGGATATTTTATTAATAATTAACCCAATTTGATGTAAGAATTGTCTGCAACAAATATCTCAGGCAGCAAATATTTTTTGAAAATGTGTGCGTTATTACAGTGTAATTACTGTAAAGTTATAGGACATTATTAATGAGACAAAAACAATAGCATCATAACAGCAACAACAATAATAACCTAATTATTACAATTTATTATAGGCCTATTTACATAATTTTATATCGGCCTAGTATTTGTACTTTTGATTGTGAATAGCAAAAATACAGAAATGCAAGGAATTCGATGGTGAGTTTGGGTCCAATTGAAACACGAGCTTTCCACGGAACGCCAATCTCTTGTTCGCTCAGACTGATACAATTTTAAACAAATCCCTTAGTGTTCGGCCTCCCCTCTCTAGCCATGCAGAACATTATGCTGCTATAAACGCGTCAGGAGCCGCCTGTTTACTGCCGCGGTTGCACACAGAGAAAAAGGTCCTAACGAAAAGCAGAGAGATACAGGGAGAAAGTTGAAGACTTCTGAATGGAGGAAGATTTTCACCTTTCTTGGTTTGGATTGATTGCAATGGCAGCAAGGTACGTCTGAACACCAACGAGTTTGTGTGGAGCGTTCACATTTGTTTTGTGTGTTCTCTATTGTGACATTATAGTTTTGAAGTTATTTGTATGGTTTATTATTTTTATAGAAAAGTTCGCTAAACGAATATCAACAAACAAGACACTCAAATGATATGGATAAACCGCGGCGCATGAGTGTGCTCAACTCATGCTGCTAAAGTGAACGCAAAGCTGCATGCTATTAATTGTGACTTCCAATACATGCTTTAAGTTCAACGACGTTTTCATAACTTGGAATGAATAAGAGATCAATTAGGTCATATATAGCCTGTCACATCATGTCTTCCACTTCAGTTATGCCACACCATTACGACTCTTAATATGCCCAAAATGCAATCCGTATGAATGTATTCGCATTGTGCATGTATACGCCTACATAGGCCTATTAGGAGAACTGTACACACGAATTAGGTAATTAATGTGCCCCATATGTGTAATCAATCCCCTGTTCCCCTCTTATCTCTATCCCCCCTCCCCCCCTCTCTCCACTGCTCCTCTCTCTATCCCCCCTCCCTCCCTCTCCAATACTCCTCTCTCTATCCCCTCTCCCTCTCCACTGCTCCTCTTTCTATCCCCTCTCTCCCTCTCTCCACTACTCCTCTCTCTACCCCCTTTCCCTCTCCACTACTCCTCTCTCTATCCCCTCTCTCCACTACTCCTCTCTCTATCCCCTCTCCCCTCTCCACTACTCTCTCTCTAGTCCCCTCTCCTCCACTCCTACTCTCTCTCTAACCCCCTTTCCCCTCTCCACTACTCCTCTCTCTACCCCTCGTCTCCACTACTCCCCCGCCGCTCTACCCCACCCCACATACCCCTAAAAACCCCCCTTTTTCCCTCTCCACTACTCCTCTCTCTTCCCTCTCTCCACTACTCCTTTCTCTATATCCCATTTCCTCCCCCTCTTCCACTACTCCTCCCCTCCTCTCCCTATCCCCTCTCTCCACTACTCTTTCTCTATCCCCTTTCCCTCTCTCCGCTACTCATCTCTCTATCCCCTCTCTCCCTACTCCTCCTCTATCCCCTCCTCCCTCATCCACTACTCCTCTCTCTATCCCCCCCCCTCTCCCCCTCTCCACGTACTCCTTTTCACCTTCTCTAATCCCCTCTCCTCCCTCTCCATACTACCCTCTCTCTATCCCCTCTCTCCACTACTCCTTTCTCTATCCCCCCTTTCCCCCCTCTCCACTACTCCTCTCTCTATCCCCTCTCTCCACTACTCCTTTCTCTATCCCCTTTCCCTCTCTCCACTACTCATCTCTCTATCCCCTCTCTCCACTACTCCTCTCTCTATCCCCTCTCCCTCTCCACTACGCCTCTCTCTATCCACTCTCCCTCTCTCCACTACTCCTCTCTCCCTATCCACTGCACCTCTCTCTATTCCCTCTCCCTCTCTCAACTACTCCTCTCTCTATCCCCTCTCCCTCTCCCTCTCTCCACTACTCCTCTCTCTATCCCCTCTCCCTCTCTCCACTACTCCTCTCTCTATCTCCTCTCTCCCTCTCCACTACTCCTCTCGCTATCCCCTCCCACCCTTTCTCCACTACTCCTCTCTCTATCCCCTCTCCCTCTCTCCACTAATCCTATCTCTATCTCCTCTCTCCCTCTCCACTGCTCCTCTCGCTATCCCCTCTCTCCCTCTCCACCACGCCTCTCTCTATCCCCTCTCCCTCTCTCCACTACTCCTCTCTCCCTATCCACTGCACCTCTCTCTATTCCCTCTCCCTCTCTCAACTACTCCTCTCTCTATCCCCTCTCCCTCTCCCTCTCTCCACTACTCCTCTCTCTATCCCCTCTCCCTCTCTCCACTACTCCTCTCTCTATCTTCTCTCTCCCTCTCCACTACTCCTCTCGCTATCCCCTCTCTCCCTCTCCACTACTCCTCTCTCTATCCCCCCCTCTCTCTCCCCTCTCCTCTCTCCTATCCACTGCCCTCTCTCTATCCCCTTCTCCTCTCTCCACTACTCCTCTCTCTATCCCCTCTCCCTCTCTCCCTCTCTCCACTACTCCTCTCTCTTCCCTCTCTCCCTCTCTCCACTACTCCTCTCTCTATCTCCTCTCCCCTCTCCACCTACTCCTCTGCTATCCCCTCCCCCTTTCTCCACTACCCTCTCTCTATCCCCTCTCC